TGAGCTGAAATTGCACCACCACCACACCCCATCCTGAGCAAGAGAGCTAGACTCTGTCTCAAAAAAATAAATAAATAAAATAAAACTTGTATTTTGAACCAAATCTAATTAAGTTTTGTGAAGTGAATAAAGATATTTTAATACTAAATGTGACTGTTTAAAAAATAACATAATTTAAATTTCAACAATATGTAATTTCCTTTAGTGGTTTTCCACTGCTCAAAGAATAACATCCAAACTCCTTCCCAAGGCTCACCAGGCTTTGTGTGATCTGGCTCCAGACTTCTTTTTTTTTTTTTTTTTTTTTTTTTTTTTGAGACGGAGTTTCGCTCTTGTTACCCAGGCTGGAGTGCAATGGCGCGATCTCGGCTCACCGCAACCTCCGCCTCCTGGGCTCAGGCAATTCTCCTGCCTCAGCCTCCTAAGTAGCTGGGATTACAGGCATGTGCCACCACGCCCAGCTAGTTTTTGTATTTTTAGTAGAGACGGGGTTTCACCATGTTGACCAGGATGGTCTCGATCTCTCGACCTTGTGATCCACCCGCCTCGGCCTCCCAAAGTGCTGGGATTACAGCAGACTTCTTAATCAGGAGGCTCCAGCCACATAGACCTCTTAGCACAGCCAGCTCTTTGCTGCCCTAGGGCCCTTGCACTCACTCTTCTCTCAGGCTGGCATGCTCCTTCCTGGGCTCCTCCTATGCCTTTCTACTTCTTCCTCCGTCCTGGCTGGCACAGTGGATCATACCTGTAGTCCCAGCACCCTGGGAGACCAAAGAGGGAGGATTGCTTGAGCCCAGGACTTTGAGGCCCACCTGGGCAACATGGCGAGACCACATCCCTACTAAAATTCAAAACAATTAGGCTGGGCACAGTGGCTTACACCTGTAATCCCAGCCAAGATGGGCAGATCACTTGAGGCCAGGAGTTTGAGACCAGCCAGGCCAATGTGGTGAATACTCATCTCTTCTAAAAATACTAAAATTAGCTGGGCATGGTGGCACACATCTGTAGTCCCAGCTACTTGGGAGGCTGAGGTGGGAGGCTCACTTGAGCCCAGGAGGTGGAGATTGCAGTGAGCCGAGATTGCACCATCCATTCCAGCCTGGGTGACAGAGTGACACTCCATTCAAAAAAAATTTTTTTTTAATTTTAAAAGTAAGGTGAGTGTGGTGGCACATGCCTGTAGTCCCACCTACTTGGAGAGCTGGGACAGGAGGATCACTTGAGCTTGTGAAGTTGAGGCTGCAGTGAGCCTTGGTCATGCCACTGCACTCCAGCCTGGGCAACAGAGTGAGACCCTGTCTCAGCAAAAAAGGCACCCTCATTGATGTCTTCCCCAAATATACCATCCATAGTGCTCCCCACCCAGTCCCCATAATGCTTTCTTCATAGCACTTAACCACAATCTGTAAGTATTTTGTTTATTTAATGCTACTTCTCCAACTGAAATATAAGATCCCTGGGAACAGGACCTTGAACCGTCTTTGCTAATATGTCTCCATGGGCTAAGGCAGAGCATGACACAGAGTTGGTATACATCTAATATTTGCTAAAGCCAAAAAGGTTGAATAAGCAAATTAGAATGCATTTCAAAACAGGACCCCAAACTTGGGGGAATGTGGACAAATGTTATGCGTTTCAAATATTTCCTCATAATTAAATAAACATAGTGAATTACTTTCATAGAAACAGTGATTTATATGAGGTTTTTGATTCATTAGCATCTATCTGGAGTCCTAATAACTTGTTTTGTAAGTCAGAGACATTCAGTATGTTTGAATCACTAGGCTGCCTGCTCTGCTGTGATTGTTGTTTATGAAGTGATGCTGTTTATGCCATAATGTATGTACTCTTCATCTTATAATCTTGCTGAATCACTAAGTTGACATGTATTGGTCTCTTAGTCAACATTTATTAGTCAAGCTTACCTTGTCATTACTAAGAAATATGTGGTAGCTCATGACTGTAATCTCAGCACTTTGGGAGGCTGAGGCAGGAGCATTGCTTGAGTCCAGGAGTTGAAGACCAGTCAGGGCAACATAGCGAGAACTTGTCTCTACAAAAAATAGACAACATTAGCTGGGCATGGTGGCATAAGCCTGTAGTTCCAGCTCCTCAGGAGGCTGAGGTGGGAGGATGGCGGGATCCTGAGAGGTTGAGGCCACACTGGGCTGAGATCATGCCACTGTACCCCAGCCTGGGTGACAGAGCAAGACCCTGTCTAAAAAAAAAAAAAAAAAAAAAAAAAAAAAAAAGCTGGGCACAGTGGCTCATGTCTGTAATCCCAGCAGTTTAGGAGGACGAGGTGGGCAGATCACAAGGTCAGGAGTTCAAGACCAGCCTGGCCAGCATGGTGAAACCCCATCTCTACTAAAAATCCAAAAGTTAACCATGCCTGGTGGTATGCACATGTAATCCTAGCTACTCAGGAGGCTGAAATAGGAGAGTTGATTGAGGTGTAGGAGGCTGCAGTGAGTGGAGATCGCACCACTGCACTGCAGCCTGGGCGACAGAGCGAGAATCTGTCTCAGAAAAAAAAGAAATTGGTGTTTGTTGGTCATTTGTTAGTGCTTGAAAGTTTGCAAAACATTTTTATTTTATTTTTGGAATCCTATGTTGCCCAAGCTGGTCTCAAACTCCTGGCCTCAAGTGATCCTTCCAACTCAGCCTCCCAAAATTCTGCGATTGCACATATGAGTCACTGTGTCCAATCTGTAAAGTTTCTGTTGATGTCAATTTATTTGGTCTTTCCAAGCCCTCTACTCTGTAAAGTGTTTTATAGCCATTTTACTGGTGACGTTACTGGAACTTAGGAGGGATTAAATTTTGCTGGTAAAACTCCTCTCTAAAAACTTTATATAGCCTCTTTTTTTTTTTTTTCCTTCTATCTCTCTTTTTGAGACAGAGTCACGCTCTGTTTCCTAGGCTGCAGTGCAATGACATGATCTCAGCTCACTGTAACCTCTGCCTCTTGAGCTCAAGAGATTCTCATACCTCAGCCACCAGAGTGGCTGAAACTACAGGCACTCATCACCACACCCAACTAATTTTCGTATTTTTAGTAGAGACGGTTTCACCATGTTGGCCAGGCTGGTCTCAAACTCCTAGCCTCCAGCGATCCACCTACCTCGGCTTCCCAAAGTACTAGGGTTACAGGCAGGTGGGAGGCATGGTGCCCAGCCAAAGTTTACATAGTCTTTTAAGGAAACAATACATATGCAAAACCAAAGACGTTGTTACAGAATAATATAAACACATGCAAATTAATCACAAAAATGTATCCTGATGCCAAAGAGATTGTGAATTGTATATAGCCAAATGGGATCTATTATAAAGCGTGGGAAGAGGTGAGTGTTTAACAGGGTTTGGAAGGAGAGGAAGAAACCAGAATTGAGGGGTGGGAAACAAAAGGGGTCAGAGTTTTCCAGGCAGAGGAAATAGGCTATGCAAAGATGTGTGTGTAGGCACCCCAATGGAGAATGGGGCCAGCAAGTTAGCGTGACAAAAACAGAGTGATCCCATCAGGGAACAATAAAAGATGAAGATTAAGAATACCTCTATTGGTGAAGATGTTTGGATAGCAAAGGGAGCTTGCGTTTTATTTGACAGGCATTGGGGAGTCCATAAAAGCTCATGCAAATAAAAATTAGAGATGAAAACAAAATGTGATGGTTCTTGTGGGAGCTCTGTGTAGAATGAACTGCAGCAGGAGAAAAACTGACAGAAGACTGCTGCAGTAATTCTGGAATAAGGTGACATGGCCATAGCTGAGGGTGGTGACTGAGGAAACTGGAGCAAAGGGGACCCAGCATGAAAGGCTCATCAGGACTGACAGATGGATTTAGAGTAGAAGAGGAGAGGAAAGAGTGAAAAAAAAAAAAAATGACTGCAAGGTGTCCAGCCTGTTGTGTTGGGCTGATTATGGTGCCATAAACGCATTATTTATGCCAGGAAGCCTTTTGGCTGAGGGCAAGAATAGAGAGATGGGGATGAGGAAGCGATGAGCTAAGGTTTTGAAATGCAAAGTTGCAGATGAAGCAAGGATGTTCAATTGCAGGTCTGTAGACTATCAGAGAAACAAGTTTGGAGAGAAGATAAGAAGTCAAAGTTTGCATTATGTCATTCTGATTAGCCTCTGGCTCACTTTCCCAACTCTGCTCACTTGCTGCCTATTCACCCAACTCAAATGCACTTTTCTCGGAAAGTTACTATTGGGAAGAATTTACTTTTACAGATTTGGATATTTCCTAGTGAACTTTCTCTACTATAGCATAAAAAAGAAAGATAAAAAGAAAAGACATTTTAAAAACTCATTAAGACTTTTCACCCTGAAATGATTATTTCGAAGTTACTTAGGGGCCAGGCGCAGTGGCTCATGCCTGGTAATCCTAGTACTTTGGGAGGTCAAGGCAGGCAGATCCCTTGAGGTCAGGAGTTTGAGACTAGCCTGGCTAACATGGTGAAACCCCATCTCTACTAAAAATTCAAAAAATGGCTGAGCTCGATGGTGTAATCTCAGCTACTCTGGAGGCTGAGGCAGGAGAATCACTTTGAACCCAGGAGGAAGAGGTTGCAATGAGCCGAGACTGGCGCCACCGTACTCCAGACTGGTGACAGAGCAAGATGCTACACACACACACACACACACACACACACACACACACAAGAAGTTACTTGGGGCTGGGCACTGTGGCTCAAGCTTGTAATCCCTGCACTTTGAGAGGCCCAGGCAGGCGGGTCAGTTGATCTCAGAGGTTGAGACCAGCCTAAGTAACATGGAGAAACCCTGTTTCTGCAACAACAACAATTAACCATGTGTGGTGGCGAGTGCCTTCGGTCCCAACTACTTAGGAGGCTGAGGTGAGAGGACGCTTGAGCCTGGGAAGTGGAAGTTGCAGTGATCCAAGGTCCACTCCAGCTTGGGCGACAAAGTGAGACCCTATCTCAAAAAAAAAAAAAAAAAAAAGCAAAAAGTTTACTTTTTTAAAAAAATTATTTTTTAAGAATAGTCAGACGACACAAAGTAGGTGGCAATGCCTTGACTGTCTGTGTGTTCTCAGGCCTGAGAGCCTCTTTCACCCTCGTCAAGAGGTATGCCAACTTTTCTCCTTTTATACAACACTACTTGGGTTTTTAAAAATTAATACTTATTACTTTTTTTTTTTTAAGATGGATTGGAGTCTCACACTGTCACCAGGCTGGAGTACAGTGGCACTATCTTTGCTCACTGCAGCCTTGGCCTCCCGGGTTCAAGCAATTCTACTGCCTCAGCCTCCCCAGTAGCTGGAATTACAGGCATATGCCACCATACCTGGCTAATTTTTGTATTTTTAGTAGAGATGGGGTTTCACCATGTCGGTTAGGCTGGTCTCGAATTCCCACCTTGGCCTCCCAAAGTGCTGGGATTACAGGCATGAGCCACCTTGCCCGGCCTCACTAATCCTTTAATGTAGCTACTTAAGATGCCTGTTAGAAAAAGCCATTCTCTCAGCTTGTATTTTGATCCTTAAAGTGCGGATTTCATCATTCAAGAGCTGAACCATATTTCTGAGTTCTTATTGAAGGCCTCTCTGCAGCAGCCAAATCGAAACTGGAAACTTTCACATGTATCTGTTATTATCAGAAGCATGGGGTGAAAGCTGTGCAGGGAAAGTGGGGTGAGGAGTGGAGAGATTGGGGAAAACTTTATTTCCTGAGAAATACCTCCCAGGCTCAAGGGATCCCCCTACCTCAGCCTCCTGAGTAGCTGGGACTACAGACATGCATCATCATGCCTGGCTAATTTGCTCTTAAAATGCTGATGAAATCAGATTTCTGAGTCAGCTAGGGAATGTCTTATGAGACACACTGCTAGTCTTCTTGGAATACATTATCACAGGGTAGGATGACAGGTAGCCACAGTCCTGCCTGAGGGTTCGGGGGAGGACTCTTGGAGATGATAACATCCAACCTTTATCTTAAAAGATGATAAGGAGGTAGGCAGGGCATTCCCAGCATAATCCAGGGCACAGAGAAGAGAATTAGCATGGCACGGTGGCAGGACAACGAGTAAAAGTTGGGGGGTGGCTGAGAGATGGAGAAGAGTCAAATCAAGGAGAGCCACAAGTCTCCTGTGGAAGAAAGAGTCATTCAGGGGTGTGTGTGTGTGTGTGTGTGTGTGTGTGTGTGTGTGTGTTCATCCAGGCTGGAGTATACTGCCTCCCAGTTTCAAGCGATTCTCCTGCCTCAGCCTCCTGAGTAGCTGGGATTACAGTCGCCTGCCACCACTCCCAGCTAATTTTTTGTATTTTTAGCAGAGATGGGGTTTTGCCATGTTGGCCAGGCTGGTCTCAGACTTCTAGCCTCAAGTGATCCTCTTGCCTTGGCCTCCCAAAGTCCTGGGATTACAGGTTTCTGAGCCACTGTGCCCGGCCTTCCTGAGGCTCTTAAAAGCAGAGAAGAATTGAGAAGGACTTGGGCTCCTTCCCTTTGTCACTGTTCAGTCCTTCTCACTCTGCTCCAGATCTCAGCCAGGATCCAAAGGCTTCCCCATTTATCACCAACATGGAAGCCAGGTCTTCCATGAGAAGAGAGGTCTACTCAGCCTTCAGGCTTGAGCTGATCTTGGACATTCTGTCCTATCATGAGGGGCCTGACCAGTCACTCAGGCTCTTTTTAAGTTTAGTGATTAAACTTTTCATATTAAAAAAAATCTTGTTAGCAGACAAAAGAGTGGAAAGTAATGGAGAATACACAAGATTCACTGATGGGCTTTTTGTTTCAAGTATGAAAGACTTGGCTGGGCATGGCAGCTCATGCCTGTAATCCCAGCACTCTGGGATGCCAACGTGGGTGGATTGCTTGAGCCCAGGAGTTCAAGACCAGCCTGGGCAATATAGCGAGACCACATTGTTACAGAAAGTAAAAAATTAGTCAGGCGTGCTGGTGTGTGCCTCTGGTCCCAGCTACTCAGGAGGCTGAGGTGGGAGGATCTCTGGAGCCTGGGAGTTTAAGGTTGCAGTGAGCCATGATGGCACCACTGCACTCCAGATTGGGTGGCCAAGTGAGTCTGTTTTTTTTTTTTTTTTTTTTTTTTTTTTTTTTTTTGGTGCTGTGACTCAGATCCAAATGAGTCTGTCTTTAAAAAAAAAAAAATAGGCGTGGTGGCTCATGCCTGTAATCCCAGCACTTTGCGAGGCCAAGGTGGGCAGATCACAAGGTCAGGAGTTCGAGACCAGCCTGACCAACATGGTGAAACCCCGTCTCTACTAAAAATACAAAAATTAGCTGGGCGAGGTGGCGGGCACCTGTAATCCCAGCTACTCAGAAGGCTGAGGCAGGAGAATGGTTTGAACCTGGGAGGTGGAGTTGCCATGAGCCAAGGTTGCACCATTGCACTCCAGCCTGGGCAACAGAGTAAGACACCGCCTCAAAAAAAAAAAAAAAAAAAAAAAAAAACCTGGGAGAGAAAAGAGAGCCTATTACAAAGAGAGATTCAAGATAGAAGAGAGAAAAAAACTAATGAAGGAGGGATGCATTGGAGATCTACCCAAGAGGGGCTGACTCCAAACAGGAAGAGAGAGACTCCTTGAGGACCTGCGGATGCTGATGCCACAGTCAGGTGTGGTCAGTCGTGGAAGACACCCCTGGAGGAGATCATCTGAATTTTACATAAATCCAAAGTCATTTAACCACGAGATGACTACTTGGTGAGAGCCATTCACATGTATCATTAGCTTTAATCTTCACAACAACCCTATGAGGTAGACATTCTTCTGATTTTATGCTAGAGAAAAGAGTTCAGAGATGTTAAGCAACATGTCGTAGGTAACACAGTTTTCAAGAAGTAAACCTGGGGTTTGAATCCAGGCTATTTAGCCCATGTTATTTGAACGACTCATATGACACCACGCTGCCTTAGAGCAGAGAAGACAGAGTTGCACCTGTCATAGAAAGCCCATGTGGGTGATATCAGAGGGCAGTGTATCTCTTAATCTTTGAAATCACCACCAGGGTTTTTGTCTGTCTAGATGTTGAACTTGTCCTGAAATCCAGATGTTCTAGTTTATCTAGAAATCTGTTCAACCACAGCAAATAGCATAGGCCTATCTAGGTCCTGAAAGGGTTTGGGAATAGCCTGATAAGAATTTGAAGTAGCCGAGCGCAGTGGCTCAAGCCTGTAATCCCAGCACTTTGGGAGGCCAAGGCAGGCGGATCACGAGGTCAAGAGATCGAGATCGGGCTGGGCATGGTAGCTCATGCCTGTAATCCCAGCACTTAGGGAGGCCGAGGCAGGTGGATCACAAGATCCAGAGATTGGCTGGGCGTGGTGGCTCAAGCCTGTAATCCCAGCACTTTGGGAGGCCGAGGCGGGTGGATCACGAGGTCAAGAGATCGAGACAAGCCTGGTCAACATGGTGAAACCCCGTCTCTACTAAAAATACAAAAAATTAGCTGGGCATGGTGGTGTGTAGCTGTAGTCCTAGCTGCTAGGAAGGTTGAGGCAGGAGAATGGCTTGAACCGGGCTTGAACAAGGGAGGTGGAGGTTGCTTGTGAGCTGAGATTGCACCACTGCACTCCAGCCTGGTGAGTCTCTCCAAAGTAAGACTCTATCTCAAAAAAAAAAAAAAAAAAAAAAAAGATAAAAGTACCCTGAGCTACCCTTTCTCAGTCATCAGAGTGGCATCAATTCACAAACAATATGTGCTGTTGATGACAACTGTCTCATACAGCTGGGGGAAATGCAGAAAGGTGTGGAAGGGAATCTGGCCGTACCTAAGAAAACTACATAGGCATTTTTCCTTCCACTCAGCAATCACTTTTCTAGGAATTTATCTGAAGAAAAAAATTTCAACAGTAAGCTTTTTAATATTTTACATTTTTTTTTTTTTTTTTTTTTTTTTGAGACGGAGTTTCGCTCTTGCTACCCAGTCTGGAGTGCAATGGCGCGATCTCGGCTCACCGCAACCTCCGCCTCCTGGGTTCAGGCAATTCTCCTGCCTCAGCCTCCTGAGTAGCTGGGATTACAGGCATGCGCCACCACGCCCAGCTAATTTTTTTGTATTTTGCAGTAGAGACGGGGTTTCACCGTGTTGACCAGGATGGTCTCGATCTCCCGACCTCGCGATCCACCCGCCTCAGCCTCCCAAAGTGCTGGGATTACAGGCTTGAGCCACCGCGCCCGGCTATTTTACATATTTTTAAGATTAAACTAATAGGACTGGAGAGAAAAAAGGCAAAAGAAACCCAACTGTATTATAAATAAATATTATAACTACTCTAGGTGGGAGAGGACAGGGGAAAACTAATGCTAATAATGTTTGAGCATGCTCAGTCCAGGAGGCGGAAGTTGCAGTGAGCCGAGATCGCACCACTGCACTCCAGCCTGGGTGACAGAGTGAGACTTTGTCTCAAAAAAAAAAAAAAAAAAAAAAAAAAAAAAAATTGAACTAAACTTGGTAAACAGTCTTCTGATTTTGTATCCTCTATTCATTACACAAGTTTTTGTGACAGTTGAACCTGTAGGAAGGGCTGGAGAAATGTTTGCAGCCTGAAGATTCTGATCCAGTAAGCATGAGTAAATCCCACGAATGACGTGATCATTTATCAGGTTGGTAATAGTAGTTGTCTCTAGGAAAAGGGACCTAGAGGATCACCCAGGGAATATTGACCTATGTACATATGTTACTGAATCAAGTACATTAAAAATCATATCTTTTTACATGACGGCATAAACTTACTTGTTAAATGCAAAGTACTGCTCGAGCACGGTGGCTCAGGCCTGTAGTCCCAGTGTTTGGGAGGCTGACGTGAGAAGATCATTTGAGGCCAGGAGTTTAAGACCAGCTTGGGCAGCATAGCAAGACCCTGTCGCTGTAAAACATAGAAAAAATTGGCCAGGCACAGTGGCTCACACCTGTAATCCCAGCACTTTGGGAGGCTGAGGCAGGTGGATCATGAGGTCAGGAGTTCGAGAGCAACCTGACCAACATGGTGAAACTCATCTCTACTAAAAATACAAAAAAAATTAGCCAGGTGTGATAGTGCCAGCTACTAGGGAGGCTGAGGCAAGAGAATTGCTTGAACCTGGGAGGCAGAGGTTGCAGCAAGCTGAGATCTTGCCATTGCACTCCAGCCTGGGT